GTGAGTGTCAGCTGCTTGAGAAACCAGCGGATTTACGGCTGGCCAATAGAGGGCCCATAGGATTGGTCTGCCAACCTGCACCAGACTGAGGCCCCTGTAAACTGCATACTACTTCTCCAAGGACTGTATTGCCAGAAATTTTTGGCAGACATGCAAGACTGCACACCATCCTTGGCTTCTGCATCTTTGAGAATCTCTTCCCCAGATTTAACCCACTCCCACACTTGGGGTGGGCTTCCATGACCTCTTTGCTGTTGCACCCAGAGGGAATCACTTCCAGTTGTTGTACACAAGTTTTGTTGGCTGGGAATTCCACTGATGTTCTCATGGAAGGGTCCCTTGCTGTGAGCAAGCACATGAGTGACAAAGATTTGTCTGTTCCATGTGACAATAGTTGCCAATCTCCTGATCGATGGCTAGACCATTTCACATGTCCCCCAAGCCCCTAAAGATGTAATAAGGAATTTTGGGTGAGGCAATTTACACAGCTATCACCACTACATACAACCAGACCCTCTGGCCAAATTTATCCATTTTTGGTATATTCGCTTCAGTCTCAATTAAGAAGTGGCCATCCACAGCTGGAACCTCTTCAAACCATGAGTCCACTGATCCCTTGGGATGGTTCTTGGATGTAGCATCTTCATTGGATGATTACACTCAGATGATTTTGTCCACTTTTATTAGTGGGATTGGTGGGAACCCAAGTAAGGGTGGGCCCTTCAGCACTCACGGTTCTGTAAGGTGCTCTGGTGGTGAGATAGTCCATTTCCATCGCAGCCCAATAACAAGTGAGAAACTGCCATTCAAATTGTGTATTGGGCAGCAAGGATTCAGGTAACTTGCGTCCAGAATCCGCGAGCCCAGCAGTCCCAGTAGTGGTTTTCTGCTGCCACAGATTCTAACATATATGTGTGAGGGTTGGGGACACCTCCAGGTCAATCAAGTTAGCAGGCTTCAAAGACCCCAGAAGCAGTGCCTGAGCCACAGCTGATGAAACAGCCTCCAATTATAGTTGTTGGGAGGGGCCCCGTTAGAAGGTGGCTGCCTTTCATGGCTCTTTGCCTGTGGGAGCCAGGAGGGCACCTGGAAGGGTTCGATGTTACCTCCAGTTCAGAGATTCACCGGCTGCTATACTTCCTTTTTGTTAGTGGTTTTAACCAGGGACCATACCTTCCACTTCACTTTCTCCAAAATCCTCCACTGATTACTTGCACAGGAGAAATTAGACCTATAGGGTCAGTCTTGAATCTTATCTAGCTTTTGGCCTAAACATAGTTATTGTGACCCAACATGACACTAAGACCACTTTTCCTCTGTGAGACCCACAATCAAGATGTCACCTTTGTATGACAAGACATGCCATAGGACTTGGGATTGCTGCAAATCAGCTCCCACCCATTGATGACAGATGGGAGAGGAATTAAGGTACCCCTCAGGAAGGACTGAGAAAGTCTATTGCAAGCTGTTCTACATGAATTATAAACTGATTTTCAGCCTCCTACAGGTAAATTGAGAAAAAAATCATGGCCAAGACTATGATAATCTACCAGTCTCAGGTATGTGCCATGACCATCCCCATAAATGATCTGGGGTAGAACCTTAGCATTCAGCCTGAGGTAGTCTGGAGTCAGCCATCATGCCTTTGGACTAGCCAAATCAGGCTGACATGTTGTCACAAAGAGGTAAGAACCACTCCTGCTTGCACCAGATGTTGACCAGGGGAGAGTGTATCAAACCATGATAATGGTTTAGATACTGCCCAGGGAGGTGCATATCCCTGCAGGGGGTATTGATGCTCAGACCATCAATACCTGATAAGAACCTGGATCACTCCCTCAGAAATGGACCAACAGGCCCCACCCTCAGCACCTGCATATTTGTCTTCCAAGAGCTACTGAACCCTCCCAAAGCCACCCAAGACCACCATTCCATCCATCTCTTGGTTTGAGTGGCTGGGAACATAGACTCCAGTGGTTAATTCTGTGCTTGGGATGCCCACTCACCCTATCAGGGTTCCTGGGTCTGAGTTCTGGATACTCCACCCCCAATCCAGTTTTCTGATAATGCATACACTGGAGGGCAACAGGTGGTGGCCCAAGCATTTCAATCCTTGCCACCCACATGGGAGACCAGAAGGAGTTCCAGGCTCCCAGCTTTGGCCTGATTTAGCTTAACTCTGGCTGTTATGGGCATCTGGAGTGGGAACCAGCAAATGAGATCTCTCTCTCCCTCTCTCTCTCTCTCTTTCTGTCTCCCTCAATCTCTGTATCCTACCTCTTTCCACCTTTGTCACTCTACCTTTCGAGTAAAATATGAAATAAAAAATAAGTAAATAAATAAAAAGTGTATATGTTAAAAAAAATCAATAGCTCCACAGAATTATCTGATGACTCACTCATGTCATAGTCCTCTCAGGTATTTGGGTGGTGCCCTTCTAACAGTGATTCAGAACTCCAGCTCCTTCCCACATCATGGCTCCTTGGACTGTCCACTACATGCCAGGCATGATATTAGAAGCTACATAAGAGAGAAACTGGGGATAATCTTCATGGATGTTCTGGGGCCAGCTTCAGAACTGTTGAATATCACGTTCTTTTCATGCCTCATTTCACATGATTTTCACCACAGTCTTTTTATAATGATTCATTTGTTTCTTTGAAGGCATAATTATGGGATGGGGATGGGGCGAAGAGACAGACAGAGACAGAGAGACAGAGAGAGATCTTCCACCGGCTGGTTAACTCCTCAAAAGGCTGCCCACAATAGCCAGGGCTCAGCCAGGCTGACGACAGGAACGTGGAGCTTCTTCCCACGTGCATGTAGGGGCCCAAGCACTTGGGCCATCTTCAGCTGCTTTCCCAGGTGCATTAGCAGGGAAGTGGATCAGAAGTGGAGCAGCCAGGACTTGAACCGGTGCCCATGTGGGATGCAGGCAGTGTAAGGCACAGGCCTAAACCACTGTACCACAGCACCAGTTACACACAGCAATTTGTTCAACAGAAACATCTAATAATTCTTCTTCTTGCAAAGGGATTTAAAATTCCCACATGATATTAGTTTCCAGGGACTTCCACACCAAAGTGTCACAAACCAGGCGGCTTAACACAGCAGCAGTGTGCTCCCTCACAGTTCTGCAGCTGAACGTCTGATGTCACGGAGTCGGTAGCACCGTGCTCCCTGGGAGGGCTCCAGCAAAGAACCCTTCTTGCTTCTTCCCAGCAAGTCTGTGTTTCCTGACTTGCAGCTGTATTTTCTCCAATTTCCGCCTCAGTCCTCACCTGGATTCTCTGTGTCTCTGTCTTCTCTTGTAAGAACACCAGTCACAGGCCAGCGCTGTGGCACAGCGGGTTAGGCCTTCGTCTGGAGCACCAGAATCCCATATGGACACCACCAGTTCGAGGCCTGGCTGCTCCACTTCAACCAGCTCCCTGATGGTGTGCCTGGGAAAGCAGTAGAAGATGGCCCAAGGGCTTGGGCCTCTGCACCCACACGGGAGAACTGAAGGAAGCTCCTGGCTCCTGGCTTTGGCCTGGCTCAGCCCCAACCATTGTGGCCATTTGGGGAGTAAACAAGCAGATGGACGATATCTCTCTCTCTTTCTTTCTTTCTCTCTCTCTCTCTCTCTGTAACTCTGCCTTTCAAATAAATAAAACAAAATCTTCCCATGTGAGCTCTGGTTTGAGCCCCAGCTGCTCCACTTCCAGTCCAGTTCCCTGATAATGCGCCTGGGAAAGCAATGAAAGATGACCAAATGCTTGAGTCCCTGCCATGAATCTCCCATGTGGGTGACCCAGATGGAGTTCCTGGCCCAGCCCCAGCCATGACAACCAATTGGGGAGAGAACCAGTGAACAGAAGATCTCTTTCTTTTTGTATCTCCCTCTCTCTTTGTAACTTTGCTTTTCAAATAAATAAATTTTAAGCATACAGATCCAACAAGACAGGAAAAATACTATGCCATGGAGTGAGGGGTGGGGGCGTGAGGGTGCACAGAGAGAATAAGCAGGTTCAGATGGCAGGAAGCGCTGCAAGAGCCTTTGATGTGCTTTTTTTTTCTTTTTAAAAAAATTATTTTATCTAGTTTTGTTCTTTATTTGAAAGGCAGGGAGGCAAAAAGAGACACAGATTTTTCATTTGCTGATTCACTCCCCAAATACCTGTAAGAGTTAGGGCTGGGCAAGGCCAAAGTCAGGAGTCCAGAAGTCAGCCAGAGTGTTCAAGGTGGGTGCAGGGACCCAAGTACCTGAACCATCCGCTGCTGCCTCCCTGGGTACACATCAGCAGGAAGCTGGAATCTGAAGTGGAGCCTGGACTTGCACCCAGGCATTCCCGTGTGAGATATGGGCATCCGGGATCACTGCACAAAGCCCACCCCTGTTGTAGTTTCTGTGGAAGGAAACTACAGGCCTTGCAGGGTAAGCAGGCTGCGGTTCTCTGGTTTGACTGTCCCCGGGCTCTGGACAACCGCGTCCCTAATTGTCGGGTCTGTGGCCCTGTGGTTGAGGATGTGGGCTCAGAGGCGGCTGGTTTGCATTTGAAAGAAACTCTGGCAGGCAAGCTGTTTACTCCAATTAGGACCTCCTTGAGCCCTGGTGGGGCAGCCCCTCCAAGATCAGAAAAGCCCCCGAGGTCAAAGCACCAGATACAGAAAGTGAAAGACAGGGTACTATGCCAACACACCCCAGTACCATTTGTGGGTGAAAAGCAGTCCAATACTGCCAATTTCATGTGATTCAGCTTTAACAGTAAAGCCATGTGAGCTGAGACCCAGATCCCTCATCGAATTACTTCCCCCTTCTTACTGCGATCTGTAACATGGAAATAAGTTGTTTTGAAAGAAAAATAAAATTCATCCAACCTAGCGTTTTGCTTAATGGAAAACAAAAGACACGAATAATCAGTGTGGGTGGATGTGGGGGGTGTAGCTTTCTTGTTGTATTTTGTGGGTGGATGTGGGGGGTGTATCTTTCTTGTATTTTGTGGGTGGATGTGGGGGGTGTAGCTTTCTTGTATTTTGTTACTTTTCAGGCGGTTATCTTCGCCGAGTGCTAACACTTCTGCTCTGCGGTTGTCCAGCGTCTTCCCGGGTTGCCTCTTTTACTCCTCTTGCATTTTCTCTTCGCCTCATCCCCGCCATCTTCTTCCCAGCTTGCTTGCATTTGCTTTTGCACCCTTAGAGGGTTGCACAGACTTCAAGCTGCGTGGTGGTGAGCATAATGGATTGTTCTGTGTAAGTAACGTGGAACGCAGTGGGGGTTCTGGAAACAGCATGTGCTTTGGACCCTGGAGGACCTTCTATGCCCAAACCTCACAGCAAGAACATCTGGTGCTGCGAGCAGCTGTGAGAACTGGCTTTTAAAAACAGATAAAGCCCTATTATATAAAACCCAAAACGCTGGGTTTTTGTTAAAGTTACAAGCGCTCCCTCTTTCTGTCAACCTTTAGGATCTGTTCTCTCTTGTGCCCTTCTACATGTCCAAGAAAAATGTGGATAAATAAATAAAATAATGATACAGAATGAAGTTCTTCACCCATAGAAGCTTGACGTATGCATGCCCTGGGTAAGAACTCAGGGATGCTGCATGACTAGTGTCGCCGCGTTCTCTGGCCGATCCCACGGCCGTGCAGGAAGCTGGGTCTGTGTCTGGATGGTCAGCCGCGTTGCAGCAACGTACCCCCATTTCCTTGGAGGTCAGTGTCTAATTCTGAGCACTTCAAATAATTCACTGTAAGTTGAGTCATGGCTTGATGATAACCTTGTTTTCAAAGTTCTGAAGCTTCCCAAACGGCTGAATTCCAACCCTCTCTCCTTGACCCCCATCAAAAGACTCAAGACAAGTGGCTTAAAATGGGATTTTTCACATTTCTGCTTTGCCCCATTTTTCATGTGAATACTTACAAAGGAGGAAAGAAAGGAAAGAAGGGAGGGAGGGAGGGAGGGAGGGAGGGAGCATTTACTTCTGAAACTCTTCCCAGTGCATTCCTGAGGTCTTTGCTTCTGAGCACAGAAAAGCAGTGTGGAAGTTACTCGTTTGTTTTCCTCTTTTAGAACTTTGAGATGAAAAATGAACTTTTGATCTCATTACTTTTAAATTTAACAAACCAGTTTTAATGTCCTTTTCACTCCAGGTGTCACTGTCAGGGACCCTGAGGGAAGTCAAGCACACCAAAATACAGCTTCACTTCCAGAAACGGCCGCATATGACATGGAATTGAAGGTTGAGGTTTAATTCCATCGTGGAATCTGTCACTGGCCAATGACTGCAGCAAAGAACAATAGGACACTCCCAGGTCGTAAGAAAGCAGAGTGTGACTACAACACCCTACAGTACAACCCAGAGCAAGGCCTGGGGACCTCAGGACATTGCCCGATGTCTACGGCTTTGATGAGTAGTGGAGAAGATGCTGAAACAGGGGTCCTCCAGCAAGTATGATCTATTAGCAATGGACTAAATCCAAGGTATACCACCTCTTTGTAACTTTGCTGATGATAAATAAATAGATAGATAACTTATGATAGATGGGTGACAGACACTGACAGATAGATGATGATGAAGATAGATAGCTGTAGATAGATTGATTTAGTAAAATCTGAGAAACAGAAAGATGAAATAAAATGGACAGTCCAAGGTAACACTGCCAAAGGTACTCCAAGCCTGAGAATTAATATTCAAGGGAAAAAAGAAAACAACATAAATACGGATAATTCCTCTTTGCTAACTCTGCTTTGTTCAGGAAAAGAAGGTACAAGAAGTATAGCCAAAATGTTGAACTTCCTCAAGATTTGCCATATGGATTAATCTGTCCAATAATGAACACACCCCAAAACAAGAGGGCAATACCTAATCCTCAAAACCTTCTGTCCACAAACAAAGCAAAAACCTGCTGTTTACAAATTCTTGATGGAAACAACAGTCCACAATTGGCCATTTATTATTACTTATAGCAACATGGAATATGAAAAGAGAATTTTTGCCTGGTTCTTTATTCTTGTTTTTACTCTGATTGTTCCAAGTGCTATACACGCATATGTAAATTCCAGAAAGATTAAACATTGGCTGGCTCATTGAGTCTGTTTCTCTCTATTACCTTTTCTTCACCCATTTTTCATTCTCCTTCTAACTCTGTGTGGCAGAAATCTAAGCAGGGTTTGTGAATTATGAAGAACTCTGCAAAGTCAGGCTTCATTATTCATTCCCTTTGTTCCTCACAGTACAGATTTTGCTGGTCCCTTTGTCCTGATGTCAATCTCTTTCCTCAGCTACTCACAAGCTTGGAGTGATATTAACACACGTTTTTAAATGTGGGGAAAAGAATAGAAAAAAAAGTCAGAAGTTGTTGACTTTCTCACTGCTTTGTAGAATATTGAGTGTTGTTCAATGTCTCTTTGGAATCTTGGAAACATTACAGATAACAAACTAAATGCCTTTTTATGATGGGGGGGGTGCAGTTCAAGAGGTGGCCCAGTTAACTGCAAATGAACCCATTAGCTTTGCATCCGGTCACCAGGATTTCTTTGGTGAAGTTGGAATTCAGTATTTTAGACACTTCTTCTAGCCTGAACATTTTCTGTGAATTTAATGTTTGGTTTTAGTCAATGATTTCCTGCAGCTGTTAATACACTTTTAGACTTGAGAAAGAAGTAGCCAAAAAGTACTTCCTCTCCTCTCTTAATGACCCCCCATTGCAATGTAGAGTCCAGGGTCCACATGCTATGTTATGTGAGCTGAGGTTTCTAGCCCATTTGGAGCCAGTGAGATGTCCGGAGTGTAGAGAAAAAGCCTTGCCAGACCAGGGTCACTCTACGATTGTTAACAGATTGGGTGATCAACTGTCCAAGATTGTCCAGGACTGAGGAAGTACTTAGCTATTTAAAACCAAGAAATCCCCAAGCAAAACAGGACCATCTGTGCTGGCTTAACCACAGTCAGGCCCCCCATCTGAACCATAAGGTCGTGGGCTAATACAACCATCCCATGTCCTGTCTCTCATCCCTGATCAGCTTCACTACCAGCTTCGAACGTGAGCCTTTCTGATGACGTAACCTTTCCTTCCACAAGGTTCCAATCCACAGTCCCAAACTGACCCGAGATTGTGGCTGCTCCGCGTGGGGCTGGGCTATCCAAGTGTTTCCTCCCTCCTTCCCCAAATCAAACTCCTTGAGAAGGGAAGACGGTGACTATGGAGATGCCTCTACTTAACCAGAGGCTGCTCTAGACCTCACGCAGCAGACCACGGACGCATCACTTAGCAACACGGGCCCTCATTGCTGTCCCAGAAGCTGGCTGGCTTTTGAAGCCTATGTGAATTTCACAGAGAGCCTTCCCCATGGCTCAGTTCCCTAACCAGGGGAAGTAGCTTCCCACCCGGTTTCCACCATGATCAGTCCATTGCACAGCCTCTCGTTGCCAGAGACGCCTTATCTCAAGAATGGCCCTCTGGGAGTTACCTCCCTTGATGGTCACCTGACCCATGGGACACTGCACATCCTTAACACAAAATTCGTGGGAGTGCAGCTCTTCACACCCTTCCCCCTACCTTGCCAGCTCTTTCAAGTCCTTTCTTCCCTAGGAACAGATCAGCAAGAAACCCAATTAGGGAATGGAAGGCAAGTGCCCCTTTCTTACAGGGATTTTCGGCCCCCCTCCATGGCCCTGCTGCTGTCTTTACTGAAGATTCTCTCCAGACCTTCTTCCATTCTTGGCTTTGCGGAGGACAGGTGAAGGAGGAGACCCTCACCACAAACCCTGCACTCCCCACGTGGCCAGGACAGGACCCTTCCTCCTCCTGAGGAGTGGGCTCTTCCATGGTAGGGCTGGTTCTGCTACATTTCTTAACTCACTAGAGCAAGGATTTAGGATCTTTATGGACTCACTTTTTTTTTTTTTCCAGGCAGAGTGGACAGTGAGAGAGTGAGACAGAGAGAAAGGTCTTCCTTTGCCGTTGGTTCACCCTCCAATGGCCACCGCGGCCGGTGCACTGCACTGATCCAAAGGCAGGAGCTAGGTGCTTTTCCTGGTCTCCCATGGGCTGCAGGGCCCAAGGACTTGGGCCATCCTCCACTGCACTCCCGGGCCACAGGAGGGAGCTAGCCTGGAAGAGGGGCAACCGGGACAGAATCCAGAGCCCCGACCAGTACTAGAACCCCGTATGCCGGCACCGCAAGGCGGAGGATTAGCCTATTGAGCCGCGGCGGCAGCCGGACTCACTTTTAAATTGTTTTCTGATATCAAGCCCATGGAGGCATCTCTCCCACTTGCTCACATTCATAGCCCCAAATGGAAGAGAGCCATGAGACTGATACTGGTAACCCCTCTAGATTCCTAGACATACTCCAGACATGGGGGTCAAAGCTTAGCCTATCCCATTCTTGCCACACACTCTCCCACATGCAAATGCCACTGACTTCCACAAAACATTATTAAAGAGTCAGTGTCAATTTCACGCTCTCAAGCTTAAGTCCAGCTTGGCTTTCCTGGTATCTAGGCAAAGACAGCTACTGACTGTTGGCAAAGAAACTGTGCTTTACTGGAGTGTGGCAGGGGAGCTGGCGGGCTCTTTTATCATTGTCCACAATGACTCACAGATTACTCCCTGGCAATTTAGAACAGGTTCCCCAACACTGTCCAGCCTTGGGTTCCTCCTATGTAATACGTGGCTGGTAAGACTCAGTTCTCACAATTGAATCACAATGGTAAATGAGATAAGCACCAGAAAGCCTACTGGTAGTGTGTGCTTGACTCCTGGTTAGCACTCAACAAATCTTGGCAGAAACATCATCATCGTCATCATCATCATCATCCCCTCAAATCTGAGGAACAATTTCTGGCAATTTATGAAAATGTAAAGCATCTAGTACAGAAACTTCATTATGACAGACATACGTAGACATTCCTGCTTATCAATTGCTTCTGTTCTTTTAATTTTTAGATGCTATTCATTGGTTCTAATTTAATAAATCTATTTGAATTGAAATGGAGAAATGTACAACAAAAAATGAAGAAAACATTTCAATTTATATGTAATCAGCCTGACAGATGATAAGCATTAAATCTAGCTCCATGTGGTTTGAGAGTGGAGAACTCTAGCAAAGAATCTAATATTCTTTTTTTTAAAAAATTATTTATTTACTTGAAAACCAGGGTTACACAGAGAAGAAAGGCAGAGAGAGTGAGAGAGAGAGAGAGAGAGACTCTTCCATCTGCTGGTTCACTCCCCAAAAACCCACAGCACCCAGGGTTGGACCAGGCAGAAGCCAGGAGCCAGCACCTTCATCTGGGTCCCCCACATGAGCACTTGGGCCATCTTCTACTGCTTTTCCAGGCACATTAGTAGGGAGCTGAATCAGACGTCAAGCAGCCAGGACTCCAACTGGTACCCATATAGGATGCCAGCATCGCAGGTGACGGCTGTGCCACAATGTCGGCCCCCAGAATGTAAAATTCTAAAGCATAAGAAATCTTATATTAATGAAGAAGCGTTTGAGCCACCTAGTGATAACAGTTCCTAGATCAAGGGCATGTGGGATTGGTGCCCCTTTCTCTGAAGATAAATAGAACTCCTGACTGGACAGATCAGGCTGACACCAGTGGAGGGGGCCAAGGCTGACCCAAGCTTGTTACACATTGTAACATTGTAACACATTAGTATGCCAAATGACAGGAACCACCACACCATAAAAGGAGAGAAAGGGGGCCCCGAAGTCATATTCTGGGAAATCTCCACCTACTACTTTGATAAACCACGACTATTCCTCCCCTTTATTGGAATGTATACCCCCTGGGGCACAGCATGTAAGCCACAGCCTACAATGCCTCCAGAATCCCATCTGAGCATCGGGTCAAGGCCCAGCTGCTCCACTTCCAATCCATCTCCCGCTAATGTGCCTGGGAAAATTGTAGAAGATGGCCCAAATACTTGGACCCTTGCCACCCACGTGAGAGACCCAGACAGACAGCCATGCCTCTGGCTTTGACCTGGCCCAGTTCCAGTCATCATGGCCATTTGGGGAGTGAACCAGTGGATGGAAGATCTCTCTGTCTCTTTGCCTTTCTCTCTCTCTCTCTCTCTCTCTCTCTATCTCTATCTCTTTCTCTGTAATTCTGACTTTATAATAAATAAATATTTTTAAAAAGTACTTCCCCTTTAGTTAAACAACCCACATAATATTTTTAAGTTTTTTAAAATCGCTTATTAATATAAAGAGAGTGGATTTCATGTATTTCATAGGCACAGATTTGAGGAAATAACCACACTTCCCTCCCTCTGTCTCTCACTCCCTCAATCCCCCTCTCCCTTCCTTACTTTTTTTCCTTAATTTTTGCAAAGACATAATTTCAATCCCCATTATATTCATAGGCCTAATGCACCATTAACCATAATATTCAACAAGTAAAAGGTAGGAAGATCACAGTTCCACAAAAGTATAAACAAGAGCTCACAACAACAATCATATCACAAGATGTCTTTTCATCCCTATACATTGTTTGTATTCTATATTAGCTGTCACATATCAGAGAAACATATATATATTATATATATAATATATATATATATAGGACTCCTGAATGCTTCTTAAAAAGGAATTCAAGGACCCGGGCACCAGGCAGCCCTCACTGTCCAGCATCATAAAGATCCTTCTACCTCCATTTCATGTGTCAGAAATTAGTGGTAGTCTGATTAAAGGTCTAACCTAGTCAGCCAAGAATAGATCTCGGGCTTCAGACAGACTGGAAAGGAGATTTAGGTCCTGCAAGAATTCCCAGGGGAAAGAATTTCTCTTTGGTACAAGAGGATCCCTTCCGTCTGCACCACAGGGTTGGTCTGTGTTTACATTGCATGGAAGGAGACGCCTACATCTTCAATAATGTCCTCCATGTTCTGAGCCTGTTTGTTTCTTTCCTAGCCTCAGAATTTACATCTGAGCCCCAGTCATTACTATGCTTGGCCTCAGTTGGAGAACAGAGCTGTTGTCCCTGCTACTTTAAGTGTCTGGTGGCCGGGGCACCTCCCACGCCCCTGTCTGCATGCCAGGACCCTACCTTGAGGAAAGAATGAATACAAGAGGTTGTTGAAGCTATA